AGGCGAGCGTACAGGGAAGGGTGCGCAGAGAGGCCCCCGTGGTAGGCGAGTGTACAGGGAAGGGTGCGCAGAGAGCCCCCGTGGAAGGCGAGCGTACAGGGAAGGGTGCGCAGAGAGGCCCCCGTGGTAGGCGAGTGTACAGGGAAGGGTGCGCAGAGAGGCCCCCGTGGTAGGCGAGCGTACAGGGAAGGGTGCGCAGAGAGGCCCCCGTGGAAGGCGAGGCCCCTGTGTGTACAGGGAAGGGAAGGGTGCGCAGAGAGGCCCCCGTGGTAGGCGAGTGTACAGGGAAGGGTGCGCAGAGAGGCCCCCGTGGTAGGCGAGCGTACAGGGAAGGGTGCGCAGAGAGGCCCCCGTGGTAGGCGAGTGTACAGGGAAGGGTGCGCAGAGAGGCCCCCGTGGTAGGCGAGCGTACAGGGAAGGGTGCGCAGAGAGGCCCCCGTGGTAGGCGAGTGTACAGGGAAGGGTGCGCAGAGAGGCCCCCGTGGTAGGCGAGTGTACAGGGAAGGGTGCGCAGAGAGGCCCCCGTGGAAGGCGAGCGTACAGGGAAGGGTGCGCAGAGAGGCCCCCGTGGTAGGCGAGCGTACAGGGAAGGGTGCGCAGAGAGGCCCCGTGGTGGTAGGCGAGTGTACAGGGAAGGGTGCGCAGAGAGGCCCCCGTGGTAGGCGAGCGTACAGGGAAGGGTGCGCAGAGAGGCCCCCGTGGTAGGCGAGCGTACAGGGAAGGGTGCGCAGAGAGGCCCCCGTGGTAGGCGAGCGTACAGGGAAGGGTGCGCAGAGAGGCCCCCGTGGAAGGCGAGCGTACAGGGAAGGGTGCGCAGAGAGGCCCCCCGTGGAAGGTGGGCGAGCGTACAGGGAAGGGTGCGCAGAGAGGCCCCCGTGGAAGGTGAGCGTACAGGGAAGGGTGCGCAGAGAGGCCCCGTGGTAGGCGAGCGTACAGGGAAGGGTGCGCAGAGAGGCCCCCGTGGTAGGCGAGTGTACAGGGAAGGGTGCGCAGAGAGGCCCCCGTGGAAGGCGAGCGTACAGGGAAGGGTGCGCAGAGAAGGCCCCCGTGGGAAGGCGAGCGTACAGGGAAGGGTGCGCAGAGAGGCCCCTGTGGAAGGGTGAGCGTACAGGGAAGGGTGACGCAGAGAGGCCCCCGTGGGAAGGCGAGGAGGCCCCGTGGAAGTGTACAGGGAAGGGTACAGGGAAGGGTGCGCAGAGAGGCCCCCGTGGAAGGCGGGTGTACAAGGAAGGGTGCGCAGAGAGGCCCCCGTGGTAGGCGAGCGTACAGGGAAGGGTGCGCAGAGAGGCCCCCGTGGTAGGCGAGTGTACAGGGAAGGGTGCGCAGAGAGGCCCCCGTGGTAGGCGAGCGTACAGGGAAGGGTGCGCAGAGAGGCCCCCGTGGTAGGCGAGCGTACAGGGAAGGGTGCGCAGAGAGGCCCCCGTGGAAGGTGAGCGTACAGGGAAGGGTGCGCAGAGAGGCCCCCGTGGAAGGTGAGCGTACAGGGAAGGGTGCGCAGGAAGGGAGCGTACAGGGAAGGGTGCGCAGAGAGGCCCCTGTGGTAGGCGAGTGTACAGGGAAGGGTGCGCAGAGAGGCCCCCGTGGAAGGCGAGTGTACAAGGAAGGGTGCGCAGAGAGGCCCCCGTGGTAGGCGAGCGTACAGGGAAGGGTGCGCAGAGAGGCCCCCGTGGTAGGCGAGCGTACAGGGAAGGGTGAGCAGAGAGGCCCCCGTGGAAGGTGAGCGTACAGGGAAGGGTGCGCAGAGAGGCCCCCGTGGAAGGCGAGTGTACAGGGAAGGGTGCGCAGAGAGGCCCCCGTGGAAGGCGAGTGTACAGGGAAGGGTGCGCAGAGAGGCCCCTGGGTGGAAGGCGGGTGTACAGGGAAGGGTACGCAGAGAGGCCCCCGTGGAAGGCGAGTGTACAGGGAAGGGTGCGCAGAGAGGCCCCCGTGGAAGGCGGGTGGATGGGCAGCAGCTGATCTCTATATATTATGGATCGGTTCCTCTGCAATGCAGTTCCTGCCTGCTGCACGTGCGCACCACCACCACCACCTCCACCACCACCACCTCCTCCACCACCTCCTCCTCCTCCTCCTCCTCCTCCTCCTCTGTTCTGCCAGTAAAAAAATAATAATAAAAAATGTGCAGAAGAATGTATTTGTGATCAGACGCACAAACTCCGGCGCTGCTTTGACACGGCCACATTTCATGGCGGCCATTTTGTCGGTGATAGACGTGGACGTCTGTGGAGCGCCAGGAGTTACTGGCAGCGCCCGGCTGAGTGAAAACAGATATTCGATGTGTCGGGTAATAGCGACATCGAGCTGTAAATCTCCCAGAAACTTCCCGTGTGAAGCGCCTCTCCGATAATTGGTCTGTAGAGATGATCCGTTTATCGTCCTCTCTGGAGATCCGCAGAAGAGGCTTCACCTCCCTCCAATCCATTCACAGAAGAGGCTTCACCTCCCTCCAATCCATTCACAGAAGAGGCTTCACCTCCCTCCAATCCATTCACAGAAGAGGCTTCACCTCCCTCCAATCCATTCACAGAAGAGGCTTCACCTCCCTCCAATCCATTCACAGAAGAGGCTTCACCTCCCTCCAATCCATTCACAGAAGAGGCTTCACCTCCCTCCAATCCATTCACAGAAGAGGCTTCACCTCCCTCCAATCCATTCACAGGAGTGGATTCCAGTATCTCCCCGCGCTTCTCACATCCACTTCCTGGAACGTGAAGGTGTCGGTCCTCCCAGAGTGCTTCATCCCCCCCCCCCGGAGTGCTTCATCCCCCCCCCCCCGGAGTGCTTCATCCCCCCCCCCCCGGAGTGCTTCATCCCCCCCCGGAGTGCTTCATCCCCCCCCCGGAGTGCTTCATCCCCCCCCCCCCCGGAGTGCTTCATCCCCCCCCCCCGGAGTGCTTCATCCCCCCCCCCCCGGAGTGCTTCATCCCCCCCCGGAGAGTGCTTCACCCCCCCCCCCCCCCGAGTGCTTCATCCCCCCCCGGAGTGCTTCACCCCCCCCCCCAGAGTGCTTCATCCCCCCCCCGGAGTGCTTCATCCCCCCCCCGGAGTGCTTCCCCCCCCCCCAGAGTGCTTCATCCCCCCCCCCCCCCGGAGTGCTTCATCCCCCCCCCCCCCCGGAGGTGCTTCATCCCCCCCCGGAGTGCTTCCCCCCCCCCCCCCCCCAGAGTGCTTCATCCCCCCCCCGGAGTGCTTCATCCCCCCCCCCCCGGAGTGCTTCATCCCCCCCCCGGAGTGCTTCATCCCCCCCGGAGTGCTTCACCCCCCCCCCCCCCCCCGGAGTGCTTCACCCCCCCCCGGAGTGCTTCACCCCCCCCCGGAGTGCTTCATCCCCCCCCCCGGAGTGCTTCACCCCCCCCCCCCAGAGTGCTTCATCCCCCCCCCGGAGTGCTTCATCCCCCCCCCTCCCCCCCCCCCCCGGAGTGCTTCATCCCCCCCCCGGAGTGCTTCATCCCCCCCCCCCCCCGGAGTGCTTCATCCCCCCCCGGAGTGCTTCATCCCCCCCCCGGAGTGCTTCATCCCCCCCCGGAGTGCTTCACCCCCCCCCCCCCCGGAGTGCTTCACCCCCCCCCCCGGAGTGCTTCATCCCCCCCCCCGGAGTGCTTCACCCCCCCCCCCCGGAGTGCTTCACCCCCCCCCCCCCCGGAGTGCTTCACCCCCCCCCCCCCCCGAGTGCTTCACCCCCCCCCCCGGAGTGCTTCATCCCCCTCCCCCGAGTGCTTCACCTATCTCCCCCCCCCCACAGTGCTTCACCTATCTCCCCCCCCCCCCCCCAGAGTGCTTCACCTATCTCCCCCCTACAGTGCTTCATCTCCCCCCCCCAGAGTGCTTCATCTCCCCCCCCCAGAGTGCTTCATCCCCCCCCCCAAAGTGCTTCATCCCCCCCCTGAGTACTTCTCCCCCCCCCCCCCCGAGTGCTTCTTCCCCCCCCAAGAGTGCTTCACCCCCTACCCCCCCCCCCCCCCCCGAGTGCTTCACCCCCTACCCCCCCCCCCCGAGTGCTTCACCCCCTACCCCTACCCCCCCCCCCCCCCCCGAGTGCTTCACCCCCTACCCCCCCCCCCGAGTGCTTCACCCCCTACCCCCCCCGAGTGCTTCACCCCCTAGCCCCCCCCGAGTGCTCCACCCCCCTGAGTCCTTCATCCCCCCAGTGCTCCCCTTGTGCTCCTTCTTCCCGCTGTCGGCTGGTGTTGGTGATGTCACCTCTGACAAGGGTTCAGGCCTATCGGTGGTGGTCTTCGGGGGCCCATAGGAGTCATGATTGGATTGCTCAGTGACCTCTTCCTCTGATTGGTTCCTGGTATATGTGTAGGAGTGGAGGTGAGATCGGGACTTTGGATTGGGACCTCCTGATGGAAACGTACAATATGGGAAGTGATGGATCTCTCTAAATTCCTGAAGGAAGAAATTATACCTACATGAGGAGCTTTTCCTTCAGCTGTCTGCTCTTACCCCCCCCCCTCCCCCAATCCCCCTCCCCCCAATCCCCCGCCCCCCCCACCAACCAAGAGGATGGACATATGGTGTCTCTATTATAGTTTAATCTTCATATCCTGTTCAGTGTAATCCGCCAACAATGGGATTTGTGCTCAGCCTGGACACACACACAGCATTAATCCCGGCGTGGACTCCAACCCTTTCCTTCTCCCCCCCAGCATCAAACAAATCATATCCTTCTACTAGCTGCTCAACCATCGGACTTCCCCGAGGTGTGCGGTCCACGGACGATCACCGCGGTCTGATGGGCATTCCAAGACCAGGGCCATTCCCATGTGGTTGTCCCCTTTGTGGCTGGAACACCCTCCACTCCTCTGGGAAGACTTTCCATGAGATGTTGGGGGGTCTGTGGGAATTCGGGCCCATTTGTGAGGTACTGATGGTGGATGGGAAGACCTGGATCTCCATCGGGGTTCCAATCCATCCCAGAGGTGATCAGTAGGTGGAGGTCAGGGCTCTGTACAGGACACTGGAGTTCCTCCACACCAAACTGGTCATCCTTGTCTCTGCCAATCCCTCCACTGGCCTCCACTCAGTGTCCTCCACCCCCCTCTGCCAATCCCTCCACTGGCCTCCACTCAGTGTCCTCCACCCCCCTCTGCCAATCCCTCCACTGGCCTCCACTCAGTGTTCTCCACCCCTCTCTGCCAATCCCTCCACTGACCTCCATTCAGTGTCCTCCACCCCTCTCTGCAATCCCTCCACTGGCCTCCACTCAGTGTCCTCCACCCCTCTCTGCCAATCCCTCCACTGGCCTCAACTCAGTGTCCTCCACCCCCTCTCTGCCAATCCCTCCACTGTCCTCCACCCCTCTCTGCCAATCCCTCCACTGGCCTCCACCCCTCTCTGCCAATCCCTCCACTGGCCTCCACCCCTCTCTGCCTATCCCTCTACTGGCCCTCCATTCAGTGTCCTCCACCCCTCTCTGCCAATCCCTCCACTGGCCTCCACTCAGTGTCCTCCACCCCTCTCCCCCCCCAATCCCTCCACTGGCCTCCATTCAGTGTCCTCCACCCCTCTCCCCCCCAATCCCTCCACTGGCCTCCATTCAGTGTCCTCCACCCCTCTCCCCCCCAATTCCTCCACTGGCCTCCACTCAGTGTCCTTCACCCCTCTCTGCCAATCCCTCCACTGGCCTCCATTCAGTGTCCTCCACCCCTCTCTGCCAATCCCTCCACTGGCCTCCATTCAGTGTCCTTCACCCCTCCCCCCCAGTCCCTCCACTGGCCTCCACTCAGTGTCCTTCACCCCTCCCCCCAGTCCCTCCACTGGCCTCCATTCACCCAATGAATAAAATCAAAATACTAACATAATGCAAAGCCATCCACAACTCTGCCATGCGCTCCATCACCAACCTCCACTTATAAAAATTCTCACCGACAGAAACGTCTCCCCTCCCCCGTCTGACCTTCAGCTCCCTCATCACCTTTCCTTACTTGTCTCCTGGACTTCTCCAGAGCCTCTCCCATCCTCTGGAACTCCCAGTTCAGCACGGCCGCTGTCTGTTATTGGTTCATGACAACATTTTTTGTTTTAGAAACTTTTTGCCCATTCCCTACCTGTGTGTACTCCTCATTGCGCGTCCGCCCCGGTCATTGCGCGTCCGCCCCCGATCATTGCGCGTCCGCCCCGGTCATTGCGCGTCCGCCCCAGTCATTGCGCGTCCCCGCCACCGTCATTGCGCGTCCGCCACCGTCATTGCGCGTCCGCCACCGTCATTGCGCGTCCGCCACCGTCATTGCGCGTACCGCCACCGTCATTGCGCGTCCGCCACCGTCATTGCGCGTCCGCCACCGTCATTGCGCGTCCGCCACCGTCATTGCGCGTCCGCCACCGTCATTGCGCGTCCGCCACCGTCATTGCGCGCCGTCCGCCCGGTCATTGCGCGCCGCCGCCCCGGTCATTGCGCGCCCGCCCCGGTCATTGCGCGCCCCGCCCCGGTCATTGCGCGCCTGCGCCTGTCATTGCGCGCCTGCCCCGGTCATTGGGCGTCTGCCCCGGTCATTGGGCGCCTGCCCCGGTCATTGGGCGCCTGCCCCGGTCATTGCGCGCCTGCCCCGGTCATTGGGCGTCTGCCCCGGTCATTGCGCGCCTGCCCCGGTCATTGGGCGTCTGCCCCGGTCATTGGGGCGTCTGCCCCGGTCATTGGGCGTCTGCGCCCCTCATTGCGAGTCTGCCCCGGTCATTGGGCGTCTGCGCCCCTCATTGCGAGTCTGCCCCGGTCATTGGGCGTCTGCGCCCCTCATTGCGAGTCTGCCCCGATCATTGGGCGTCTGCCCCGGCCATTGCGCGTCTGCCCGGTCATAGCTTCTCAAGGTGGGCTGACATGACCTCATGCTGTTCGGCCAATCAGAATGTTGTGAAGAGAAGACGGCACCACTGTTGCGCTGACTCCGGCTCCAGCCAACCTCCGGCGCTCTGCATGTATGAGAACGTGTGTGATGTGCGGACGAGCTGATAACGGCTCCTGTCCTGTAATTGGGTGAAGGTATTTTTCTCTCGCATCCATGACAGGCGGCGTGGCGCTCTCAGCGCTTATTGCGGGAAGGCGTTACATCTCACGTTTTCAATCATCTTCATGGCATGACCTCTTCTGTGGGCTCCGGTCTCCCCGAGAAGTCTTCCTTCCCGCAGCGGCTCCATGCCTTTTGTTTACTTTTTATGTCTTGTGATAAAGTGCCGGCCGAGGATCTGCAGAAATCAGAGTGCAGAGCTCAGGGAGGTCAGGGAGGCCGGAGGTCAGGGAGGCCGGAGGTCAGGGAGGCCGGAGGTCAGGGAGGCCGGAGCTCAGGGAGGCCGGAGCTCAGGGCAGCAGATTTGTTTTCTGTAGCCGTGTGTGTGTCCGCTAACAATTTCTATTGTGTGAAAGCCACGGCTGGAGGGAGAACATTGATATGGAAAGCATCCAGGCCTGTGGGGTTCCAAGCTGAGTGCTCCTGGTGTGGATAGGAAGGAGGCCGGCTGCCACATCAGACTGCATTGGTGCGATGGCTAGTTTGTGTTCTGGACAAGGGGACGTGTGGACTTGGGTGTCGGTGGCTCCCTCTGGCCCAAAGCATTGTCAGACTTTTTTTTTTTTTTTCTAACCGATACAACAGACTTTGCCACAAGAAGCAGGTTCATTGGCTATTGGAATTGCTGACTTACACCCAGTGATGTGACACAGAGATAAAGCAAGTCCTCCTACATACGTTGTACCTGTTTATCTGCAGCCCCTCTCCATCCTCCTAAAGCACACATTTTACACTGCATTTCTGAGCTTCACAAGGTAGAGGGAGGGGATCTGATGTCACACACTGCACAGTATAGAGCAGGGAGCTGAGTGTAATATGGGATTTGAGTGGAGGAAAAGGGAAACGTGCACAGCTGAGGCTGTGAATCACCTGCTGTGTGCTGGAGGTCAAAATAGACTGTCATTAGTGACTCATGCTGATAGAGGGAAGAGACAGCAGATAGAAATCACACTCCGTTCTATAGACTGAGACAAGGGCACACTAGGGAGGGATATGCTTTGTTCATGTCAGAGATGTATTCCTCTTTGTAGGGCCTCGGTCAGGTGACTCGATTGTATAAAACGCCCCGTGGTCTGTTCATGTAAAAAATATTCATCAAAAATCGGTCATCCCCAGAATTCCCTGTATGGTGGAAATTCGATTGCGAGCGTATCGATGGTGGACCAGTCCGCCTGCTGCATGTTGTCAGCGTGCTTTGAGTGATACATGGCTGATCTCCAGCACTGACTACACGCCGTATCCCAGCTCCTTAGTGTGCACCGCCATTAACCATACATGTGCCCCCCCCAGAGAGGAATGTAAACCACGTGCAGGACTGTTCCTGTGAGTGTCGCTCTGGACCTCGTCTGTAACACTCGGGTCAGTTGTGTGGACAAGTTGCATGTGCCCCCCCCCCCCCCCCCAGAGAGGAATGTAAACCACGTGCAGGACTGTTCCTGTGATTGTAGCTCTGGACCTCGTCTGTAACACTCGGGTCAGTTGTGTGGACAAGTTGGAAGACGTTTGTTGTGCAGCGGCTGCAGCCACTCATCAGTGTATAGTGACAGTTCCAGGTCCTGCTGTCCCAGCGGCAGGATTCCTCCATCCACACAGGATCTTCTGTCCCAGCGGCAGGATTCCTCCATCCACACAGGATCTGCTGTCCCAGCGGCAGGATTCCTCCATCCACACAGGATCTGCTGTCCCAGCGACAGGATTCCTCCATCCACACAGGATCTGCTGTCCCAACGGCAGGATTCCTCCATCCACACAGGATCTTCTGTCCCAGCGGCAGGATTCCTCCACACAGGATCTTCTGTCCCAGCGGCAGGATTCCTCCATCCACACAGGATCTGCTGTCCCAGCGACAGGATTCCTCCATCCACACAGGATCTGCTGTCCCAGCGGCAGGATTCCTCCATCCACACAGGATCTTCTGTCCCAGCGGCAGGATTCCTCCATCCACACAGGATCTTCTGTCCCAGCGGCAGGATTCCTCCATCCACACAGGATCTGCTGTCCCAGCGGCAGGATTCCTCCATCCACACAGGATCTGCTGTCCCAGAGGCAGGATTCCTCCATCCACACAGGATCTGCTGTCCCAACGGCAGGATTCCTCCATCCACACAGGATCTGCTGTCCCAACGGCAGGATTCCTCCATCCACACAGGATCTGCTGTCCCAACGGCAGGATTCCTCCATCCACACAGGATCTGCTGTCCCAGCGGCAGGATTCCTCCATCCACACAGGATCTGCTGTCCCAGAGGCAGGATTCCTCCATCCACACAGGATCTGCTGTCCCAGCGGCAGGATTCCTCCATCCACACAGGATCTGCTGTCCCAGCGGCAGGATTCCTCCATCCACACAGGATCTTCTGTCCCAGAGGCAGGATTCCTCCATCCACACAGGATCTGCTGTCCCAGAGGCAGGATTCCTCCATCCACACAGGATCTGCTGTCCCAACGGCAGGATTCCTCCATCCACACAGGATCTGCTGTCCCAACGGCAGGATTCCTCCATCCACACAGGATCTTCTGTCCCAACGGCAGGATTCCTCCATCCACACAGGATCTGCTGTCCCAACGGCAGGATTCCTCCTCCATCCACACAGGATCTGCTGTCCCAGAGGCAGGATTCCTCCATCCACACAGGATCTGCTGTCCCAGAGGCAGGATTCCTCCATCCACACAGGATCTTCTGTCCCAGAGGCAGGATTCCTCCATCCACACAGGATCTGCTGTCGCAGCGGCAGGATTCCTCCATCCACACAGGATCTTCTGTCCCAGCGGCAGGATTCCTCCACACAGGATCTGCTGTCCCAGAGGCAGGATTCCTCCATCCACACAGGATCTGCTGTCCCAGAGGCAGGATTCCTCCATCCACACAGGATGGGTTGTTTATGTTGTTGTTGGGCAGATTTGCTCAGTAATGATGATCTACAAACAGATCCTTCGAATAGCATAGCTTCTTTTCTCTTCCGCCCCTTTTTTCTCATGGCAGACATTTTTACTAAGGGCAGATGAATCCATCTCCCTCTGCTTCCTGGAATTCTGGGTCTACATCCTGGAACATGGGACAGGAACTTCCCATAATGCAGCTGTGAGGCCCTAGTTACTTCTCCAGAGCCTCACCCAACCAGGAAGTGAAGAAACAGAATTTATCCGTAAAATCTAAACGTGTTCAGAATGTAAGGTGACGTCATATCGCCGCAGGACTGTACATTGATGTGATGTTAGTGGGAGGGGGATGGGCTGCATTTCATTGCAATTCTAAAAGATGTTTTCACCTCTGCAGATTACTTTGCTATAATAGCTGCTGATCCTCCATCACAGTCCTTGTTCAGTCACTTCCTGTCATGTGCTGACAACTGTCAGTTGTGCTCCGGTGTTGTCACCGTTCTCCTGGTGAGAACTATATGCAGCAGAGCTGACACTCATTTTACAGCACCTATCAGGAACCATTGCTGTGCTGTGCTGCCAATGCTGGAGTCTGTGCATATAGACAAGAAGTGGGTGAAAAGCCTGGAGGAGATCAGCAATAAGAGGACAGAAGGATTCTGAAAACACCATTTATTACCACAAGTGGTTTGTTATACACAGAGCAGCCCGAATGTCAGACGTGGGCCCCGCTGTCAGCCCTCCGGGGACTAGGAGGCAATGTGGTCACTGCAGGGACTGTCAGTGGATGTGACCCCAA